TGATGAGTTGCTGGTCCCAGTGCCGGGATGAGGAGTCAGCTGGTAGCCACCAGTTGATGAGTTGCTGGTCCCACTGCAGGGATGAGGAGTCAGCTGGTAGCCCACGCCTGGACTGACTGCCCAGACGGGCTTCTCTCGCAGAGGCAATGAAGACAAGGACACAAAGGCATGTTCTTGGGGGAGGAAGCCCAGAGCAAACTTTGCCCCTCTCTTTTATTGTGCAAGTTTAGGGTGGGGTTTAGGGTGTGTGAGGAAACATTCCTTTTGGGTACATTTGACCATATAAGGCTATGTATTTGCATATTTGACCATATAAGGAAACTGACCATATAAGGCATACTGACCATATAAGGTAATACCTATGTTGACCAATCATAGCTTTACACGTGTTGTTGGTTGTTTTGTTACCTGCCTCACTATGTTGACCAATCATAGCTTTACACGTGTTACCTGGCAGGTATGGTATCATTGGATCATTGGGTGATATTGCAACACACAACATTCCAGGACTACTGGCTAGACTGAGAAGTCAAAACCACATTCCAGAAGGGATCAATGGCAAGCCACGACCACATTGTTGGCACCGTCACTAAGAAAGCATTTCCATGACCTCATCAAAAGCGAACCCAGTTCTAGAGAAGCTTACGCTACGCACAGATTGTCTGGATGACAGGCAAGACAAAAACTGCAAACCAACAACAACAGCAACACACCTCTCCATGAAATCATGGAAGACACATTAGTATAACAGTGGGCAAATGAGAAGGTGATGACAAAGTACTCGAAAGACAAGGGGGAAAGAACTTTTTTTTGTGGGGGGGAAATGCCATTGAAAGTCAGATCTCTCTTTATCTCACTTCATTGTAAACTGCCCAGAGTTGCTGGAAGTCAGGTAGGATACTTATTTAATAAATTGTTATTATGGTTGGTCTCACAGTCAGCCAAATGTTCAGGATGGATTTGGCATTTTTATGCACCTATTGAGTACTTCCCAAGGGCCTGAGATAGGCAGATGTGGAGGTTTGATGGTGTTGAAATTTTCATACCAAGATGTAAGTTGTTCCCAGCAAATAGAATAGAATAACAGCGTGGGAAGGGATCTTGAAGGTCTTCTAGTCCAACCCCCTATACCCTTTCAGAGAAATGGTTGTCCAATCTCTTCTTTAAAGCTTCCAGTATTGGAACATCCTCAAGTTCTGGAGGCAAGTTGTTTCCACGGATTCATTGTTCTCACTGTCAGAAAATTTCTCCTTCTAGGTTGTTTCTCTCCTTGATTCTTTTTTTTTTAATAGAATAGAATTCTTTATTGGCCAAGTGTGATTGGACACACAAGGAATTGGTCTTGGTGCATAGTTTCCATCGACGGCTTGCCTTCAGGTGCTTTGGAAAATAGCTTGACTCCTTCTTCTTTGTAGCAACCCCTGAGATATCGGAATACTGCTATTATGTCACCCTATTCCTTCTTTTCATTAAACTAGACATACCCAATTCCAGCAACTGTTCTTCATATGTTTTAACCTCCAGTCCCTTAATCATCTTTGTTGCTCTTTTTTATCAATGCCAGTGGTGTTCAAATGATGTTCCAATTGTTTTGGGATTGAATCCCAAGGCACCTATTACAATTGTTACTATCTTTGCTTTCTTTTGCCCCTGTCTTTCTATTTCTCTATAGATAAATATTTCTATTTCAAATGCAGGCCTTTGTATTTTGTTATCTTCTCCAGTTTTTTTCCTTTCTACGGTCTTCTGCTGTCTCCAGGTATTGCCACGTCCACTATTCAGACTTTATTGTTGTTCTTTATCAACAATTGTTAAGTCCGGGGTGTTACGTGACAGGTGTCTGTCTGTTTGAATTCTAAAGTCCCAG